CCCTTTTCTCTCTTGTCTTTACCCCTTTTCTCTCATTTTTATCCCTTTCCCCTCTTGTTTTTACCCCTTTCCCCTCTTGTTTTTACCCCTTTCCCCTCTTGTCTTTAACCCTTTTCTCTCTTTACTCTTTTTCTCTTGTCTCTACCCTTTTCCCTCTTGTCTTCACCCCTTTTCCCTCGTTTTTATCCCTTTTCCTTCTTGTTTTTACCCCTTTTCTCTCTTTTTTTTACATTTTCTCTCTTGTTTTCCCCTTCTGTCTCTTGTTTCCCCAGGGGTTTCTCTTCTCCCCAGCTGTGCTGCCTGGGGGAGCCGATGCCAACTGCTGAGACACGTTGGTGTCACTGAATTTTCCTGTTAAGCCCAGAAGAAGCTTCAAGCAGAAACATGCCCTGGGCTGGTTTTTGTGCTGCTCAGGTTCTTCCCTTTGCTGCCCCAGCTTGCCACCCTCAGCAGCCCACGGTGCCCAGTGGGAGAGCTCAGGCCCTTCTGAAGAGCCTTCAGCCGAGCACTCACACCCCAAATCATTTGTCAGGGCTGAAAATCTCATCTCATTACATTTTAAACAGCCAGGGCCAGACAAAGGCAGCATTATTAGCCTCGCTGTACGCGGGGGAAATGAGGCAGAGAAATTCAAATTCACCCCAAAGCAGAGCAGCAGCCTCTGACACGGCAAGAGAGCAGGGCAGGCTCCTGTTGGGGAGATCCCCCTGTCTGGGGATGCTCCTGCCCTCACACCTTTCAGCCCCTATTTCTGGGCAGGGGCAGGAACAAGAGCAGCAACAAGAAAAGGACCAAACCCAGCCCCAGCAGAGAAATCCCAGCCCTCCCTGTGCTGCAGAGCCCACTCAGTCAACATGAACCAACGTCCTCATGCTGCACTTATTAAATAAATCTAATCTTATTAAACTGCATTACAAGCTTTTATTTCATAAATCTGTGTGCCTCCCCGAGCAGGCAGAGAATTAACTCCTGCCTGGGCTCTGCCTTTCCCCCCTGTGGCCTTGCAGAAGGTGCTCCTGGCAAACCCCCCATCCCCAATCCCACTGCAGCTCCAAGTGCTTGGGATGGGTCACACAGGGGATGGAAACGTCCCAGATGCTGCTTTAACACCCCCTAAACTTGGGGCTGCTCTTTCAAAAAGAGTACAAGTTGCATCCCCTCCAACATGTGCTTTATACACAGAAATATTTGCCTGAAGTCACCCAAAAAGCCTCTTGTGGTGAAATCACAGGGGGTCAGTAACTCCTGGAGGGGAGCAGGGCCACGAGGTCAGATCTGTGACATCCTCAGACGCTGTGACATCCTCTGCAAAACAGCCCTTCCTGCCCTGGGGTGCTGGGATTTTGTTTGAATGATCCGAGGTCAAGGCAAAACAATTTGTTAGATAAACTTCAGGGAATCGAAATGTAAAATTTCAGGCCTCCATCCAGCAGGAAACATTTCATCTGGGGGCTGAGCAGGTGGTTGTTTTTTTTTTTTTTAAAGTTGAGTTGTACTTTTTGCAGGACCAAAGGAAATATTTGCAGAGAAAGATGTTCTCATTTCAAAATGAAGAACTGCACTTGTTTAAGATCACTACGAATATTTTAACCCTTTAAAAAAAAATTCCCTCTCAAGCATTTTGACAAGGGGCTCAAATCCATTTTGGCTCAATAGATAGGTTTATATTCAATACATACCTGTGAAGGGCTCAAATCCATTTTGGCTCAATAGATAGGTTTATATTCAATACATACATGTGGATAAGGAATATCCAGGATTTAAAGCTCCACACTCCCAATTCTGAGCCCCACAACAGGCAGAATCCTCCCCAGGTCCATTAGAGCCTAATTAGTTTTTAATCTGGGTTTTTCCAATCTCCCAGAGATAAAACAAACAAACAATCTCCCTCCAATTACTCCCCATTTTCTTTCTCAAACAGAAGCCAAGAAATTCCCATTACAGAGGGGAAATATGCACAGAAATATTTCCTGTTTGCTCGGCAGAGCAGGGCAGGGGACTGGAATCCCGAGGCTGCTTTGGCAGGTATGTGAAGCACTCACTTGAGTGAGTCTTTACAAGCAAACCAGTCCCCTTTAGCAGCTTGTTCTGTTCCACCCTGCACACCAAAGCCTGGCAAGAGAAGCCTCAACATCACTTGTTTGGGGAAGGAAAACTCGGGTTCCCTGCTTGGCTTCACAACTGACTCCTTTAGTGACCTCTGGCACCATCACTGCCTCCACCTGTGCCTACTGAGTGCTCCTAATATTAATTACCTGCAACTGATAGAGTCCTTAATTCCTTAATGAGTAGAGGCCCATTTCAGATGTGGGGATCAAAGATCAAAAAGACACAATAACAAGATGAAATTATTTAAGAAGTCTGCTGCACTAATTAATCAGCACCTCAAAAATCAGGTTCGAGGGATATGAGTGTTGATGTTTGCTGATAAAAACATGTGCACAGCTCAGCACCCAGCACAGTGTTCCCATCGTCTGAAAATCCAGGAAAGTCCAGTCAATTAGGAAAAGCAGGATTTTAAAGCACAGTATTCCCATCATCTGAAAAGCCACAGAAGTCCAGTCAATTAGGAAAAGCAGGATTTTAAAGCACAGTATTCCCATCATCTGAAAAGCCACAGAAGTCCAGTCAATTAGGAAAAGCAGGATTTTAAAGCACAGTATTCCCATCATCTGAAAAGCCACAGAAGTCCAGAGAATTAGGAAAAGCAGGATTTTAAACCCCAGTGTTCCTATCATCTGCAAATCTGGGAAAGTCCAGATTTGGGAAAAGCAGGGTTTTAAAGCACGGAATTTTTCAAAGGATCTCTCTCAGTTCAAGGCAGGGCACATAGGATATATTCACACTCTCTAACATCAACAAACAAAATTCGAGTTAAGGCAAACCTTGAAAATGTTCCACCATCACCCTTGGGGGGGGGAAATGTTCAGGTCTGGTAGGAAAGGTGCTCTAACTGAGGATAAATTTGAGGCTGCTGGGAGGAAATGGTCACCACTAGGATTGGAAATGGTCATCATTATTAAGTTGGGATGGTGGTTTAATTCTATGTGGGGACACAAGGAATGTGGTCTCTGGAAACCTGTCTCCTCACTGGAGGTGCTTCAGACTCTCTCAGCTGTGACTGTGCCCCCTCTGACCCCCCTTTGGTGGTACCTGGGCACGTGTCCCCTTCACAATTAGGTCATTGCCGAGGTCATTTGGGTTCCGTTCTAAAACAAAGGCTGTTGATGTGCCAGCGACCCCAAATTCCTGAGCTCCTTCCCCAGTTCTGGGGGAGTCCCCAACTCCTTTAACCGGGACGAGCCACTTCCCTTCCACGGGACACTTAAAGGGCAGAGCCAGCAGTGACCTGCTGCTCCCCCCGGTCCCAGGACAGAGCCAGCAGTGACCTGCTGCTCCCCCCGGTCCCAGGACAGAGCCAGCAGTGACCTGCTGCTCCCCCCGGTCCCAGGACAGAGCCAGCAGTGACCTGCTGCTCCCCCCGGTCCCAGGACGGACCCAGCAGTGACCTGCTGCTCCCCCCGGTCCCAGGACAGACCCACCCGCGCTCTCTCCTGTTTTCCACGGCGACAGCAAATCCCAGAGGGAGGATGTGCTGGCAGGAGGAAAAGAGCTGCGCTGTGTCCGGAGAGGGGATGCCTGGATGGCGATAAAGGAGCACAAAGTCAGCCCTCGGAGCTGCCGGGTCTCCTTCACCTTGCACCGTCAACTCCCACCTCCCCAAAAATGCCCGGCACTCCAAAGATCCGAGCGTTCAAAGCCCCCGGATCCCCCTCTTTGTGTGCGGTGCACGTGTGGCTCGTTGCTGAGAGCAAACGGAGACAAAAGGAAGGGAGCTCAGGCTCACAAAGGAACCCCCGGCTAAAAAGCCCCGTCCGCTCAAGGGTTAACGGGGAAAGCGAGCCGTGAGGATGTTTGGAACAGCGGGGCATCAGCTGGAGCCCGCACGGAGCCTTCCCCACTGCCATTCATAACAAAATCAGGAGGCAGAAAGTTACTATAGCAATGGGAGCAGAATGCAGCACTTGAGAGGGCAGGAGAGGCTGGGGGGAGAGCAGGGCTCTGTGTGACACCCATCGGGGCTCTGTGTGACACCCATCGGGGCTCTGTGTGACACCCATCGGGGCTGTGTGTGACACCCATCGGGGCTCTGTGACACCCATCGGGGCTGTGTGTGACACCCATTGGGGCTGTGTGACACCCATCGGGGCTCTGTGACACCCATCGGGGCT